GAGAATGGCAGGCACGGCAGACAATGGATCCCTTTCACAACTCTCTCAAACCAAGCGGAGGCACTACTTTTTTGACTGCAAAAACTCCCCCAAGCGGACCCACTTGCTTCCTTCCTCTCCAAAGGCCATTTGGGCTCACAACCATAACTGTGAAGCTCTTTTGCTCGGCAGTCAGTCTCGTTGATCTGCCGCCTGGCTTCCAAGAAATTCGGCCACCCCCAAGCGACGCTTAAGCCGAAGTAACACCCCCCCCCCAAGAAGAGAGCGGGGCTTTCTTCCTGGCTCGGGCTGCTGAAGGCCCGGCTGCTGCCCGGAGGCTTCTGCGATCGGCCTTCCGCTGATTCTGGGACCGGGGATGATCTCCGCCTTCCCCTAAGCGTGGGATAACACAGAGAAATGGCTGGCCTTACCTGGCTCCTCTGGTGCCTGCGGTGAGGCCAAAACGCAAGTCATTTCGTGTCAAGCGCCCAATTGCCAGGGCCGGTACTATCGCTACCTTGACAGCGCACAGACCTCCTATTTCCATGGACTCTGACCTCCCCACCCCCCCAGTCATCAGCCGACCAACTGGGCAGATGAGAAGGATGCTGTCAACTTTGCTCCAGCCCTGCCATACAAAGATTGATCATCTCAACCAGCCACTAAGTGTTTACCTCCCCGGTCCCTTTTGTCCGAGAAGCCCTCGGCACTGAGACAACAGCGGGTTCCTCCCCGGCGAGGGCCTGCTGTCCTACTGTCCTGCTGCCCAGGCAGAGCTTCTCGGAGGTACTTTCTGGGGGGGGGGGAGTTTCACCGCGGTGTTAAGCAAGGATCGGGATCCGGTTGTCTGAAGGGCCTGGGGAAGAGTAGGCTGCCGGTCTCACACGACAGGGCGCCAGGGACCCCCAAGCCCGAAACCCTTTGCTCAGGTGGGGTGGAAGTTCTCGACTTGGATCAGCCTAAGCAGGGGATTCGCGGAAACCTCCGCTGTTCTTGGTGCTTCAAAAGGGTGCCACGGGGAAGAACCCCCTCCACACACACATACAGAGAGAAGTTTCATACTAAACTCCAGCCTTTCAGGTGTTGTATCCTCTTCCCTTGTCCCACTTTATGGCCCTGGCTGGAATATGAACTCACACGACCTCTCTGCAGAACCCATCGATCTACAAGGACCAACAATAGCCCATCCCCACCAGCTCTCTTTACCGATTTTTTTAAAAAGGGTGAGGCCCGAGGTCTGGGGCTGGTCTCTGAGGCCCACCGTAGAACTTTCGCTCATAGTAAACAGGCTTTCCCATTATTTTCTCTTTCAGTCGCTCCCTTTTCCCTTTCTCCCCCCCCCCCCCATTTGGCTCACTGTGATTGTGCGCGGTCCCGGTTTGTTTCCTTGATGGCATCGCATACCATTTTAATGGCATTTTAATGGCATTTATGTGCAACAGATGCCAAAAAGAGGCTGCCATCGGGCAGTGGTCTCACGTAGGCCTCTGGGTCCGAATCAAAATCCCCTAACAAAAGCCACCGGAATCCGTAGGTAAGAACCAACCCAAGCGACACTAGACATGGAAAGGGATGGATACGGAATCCACCGGCTCGCTTCCAAAACAACAGGAAAACCGCATCAAAAGGGCAGAGAGTTAGAAATCCCCCCCAACTGTCTTCAAATCCCCCCCGCACACGTCTTCGAAAAGATATTATTTAAACGTTTTCTTTTTTAAAAAATCCCGACTTGTCTCCACTCAGACAGAACTGCCCCCTAGAAAGAAAGTTTATGATTAAAAGGCAACAAGATGGCCTCCTTTCTGTTTAGGGAAAGGGCCATCATTTCGTAGAGCCCTTCCCTGTTTGCATTTCTCCTAACTCAAACACAGGTTGACGTTTGTTTGCTGGGACTCTAAAAGTCTATAAAAGAGACGACTTCACCTTTCCGTGGAATAAACAAATAGACTTTAAACTAAGCCGACATCGAGACAAAGTGGAAGCCAGTTTATTTAATCGAAACTAAATCTAGTCGCAGAAAGATAAGTCAGTGTACATAATAATCCATTACAGTAATTACTCCCACCACCAAAAAAATGTGTGTATGAGCTGGTCCAGGTACAATAAATCCATTTACTTCTCCCCCAAGGCTGTTTGGAACCATCACGACGAGCTGTTTGCCTGCTATTCTAAGGCCTAACTTTAGGGCTGTCGGGGCGGGAGGTGTGTGTGTGGGGGGAGATACCCAAAGTACTTTCGAGAATGTTGTTTTATACCACTGTCCCCTCCCTTGGCTCGGTTTCAGTAATAGAGTCCTCAGTCCACGGTTAATTTGCTCGGAGGAAAGGGAATCTCTAAAAAAGCGGAGAGTTCCTTACAGAGAGAGAGCGAGAGAGCGACTTGAGACCATCCTAACGGGGAAAAAGGAGAGACTGGAATGGATGCGATCCCCCCTTCCGAATGCGCACATTCAGTCCTGGCCAGGCTTTTGGCGCTCCATTCCCTTCGCCGGGCTCAGCAACAAACACGGTTGGGGTTGCAGTTTTCCCTTAAAAAGAAAAGAAGAAGAGAAGGAAAAAAAACCCACTGGCATTTGAAATGACAGCGTGGAGTGCTCCCTTTTTGGCTCTAAAGCGGCTAATTTTAGCTCGGCGCTATAAAAGGAGAAAAATATATATAGATTGGGGGGGGGGGACAGCTGGAACTGTTTCTCCAGCACTTGACCAAAGTCTCTCTCTCTGTCTCTATAAACAAGAGGTATATATAGAGCTTAATATCCACGCTCAGGCACGTGATAGCTTCAAAGATTCGGAGACCCCTCCGTACATTTATATTTTTGTAGCCAAGCTTCCCCCCCCCCGCCCCGATCCCAGAGCCGGGAGGGAGCTGGAATCTTGCGCGAATCTGACTTCTCCGACCGGCTTGGCGGGCTGAGACCTCGCGGCCCTTCCCTCTCTGGGAGTCGCACCCCGGTCCAGCTGCAGATCTCCCCACCTGTCCCTGGCTCCAGGGTTCTCTGCCTTTCTCTGGGGCTCTGTTTTTTGGGTTGGTTGTGGGGTTTTTTTTAGCGTGGTGGTACACCACATCGGAAGGGACACGAGAAGGCCAGGGAAACGCCGGTGACCTGTGGATTCTCGAACTGCGGAGCCAGGCGGCGTTCTGGAAGCCAGGGCTGCCAGGCTCCGTTGCTGATTCTGATCCACGGACAAGGGATGCTCACGGTGGCTGGTTTCCAGCGGCCGGCAGCAATCCAGGGGCCTCCCCGCCGGCCTTGCGCTCTCCGCGTTTGCTTCCCAGGAGGACAGAGGCAGGCCTGTGTTTTGCTCGCACGTAGCATGCCCCCCCC